GACTAGTACTTGTATGTAGGTATTTTCATCTTTTTATCAAAGGCCATTGGTTTGAATCCAATCCAGCTCATCGTTTCTGAAAGTCAATATGTGGCTGTTTTGTGACCTATGTCAAACGAATTGGTGGTCTCATCTAAATTTTATTATGCATATGGCTGTATCACAGAATAAATGGGAAGATTCCATTGCCTTATATGGACTTTCAATCAGGGCCCTGAAACATAACTTCTCTAAAGAAGAGACTATAAATTAGGCCAAATTGCATAGGGAAAGAAGCAGTGTGATCTAGTAGAGTCAAATTCTGAACAGACCTAGTGTGCAGCTCTATTGAAGTTTCCAGGGTTGCATTGGCAATGGGGGGCGGGAAGTAAGCACAGAATTTGGTTGATGTTACCCACCTGGGAGTAAATTAAGAACATAGGATTAATTTCAAACATGAACCTCCACTGAAATCTCCAGAAAGACTCTGCAGATGAGAATTTATGAAGTTATCATTTGGGACATAAATCATGTTTTCTATCCACGCTTCCAAGTTTTTAAAACATACTTTCTCGGTGAGAATAAATCCTGTACCAATGGTGATGAGAAGAAACTGATAATAGTTCAGAAGAACCCAGCCACATTTTAGGCAAGCATTACTGGGTACAGTCAAACTAATTCCAGTGCAATAACATTCATCCTGATGAGTTAGTTTCTGCTCTATCAATGAGGATAAAATGGAGTGTGAGATTGTGACCACAGTTTACCAGAAAAATCTGTTGTATTTGATGTTATACTGAGTATGGTTCATTGCACTGTATGCATCAAAGTACCGTATCAACGTACAATATATTGTGCATCATTCAAGTGCAAAACAGGACTGGCTAATTCAATTCCAATTTTGTACTTGAGCAATATACTATCCAGTTTCAAACTGCACTTGAAAATTTCACAAATATGTTATATTGAAAAGTGATACTATATTGGTCAATAGAATGACATTTTATTTTAACATGTTGCAAGTCTTACAAGTATAATATGACAAAATATAATTGTTTAATCAATATTGACATATCTTTATTAATAAAGTCCCTTGAAATGCTAATGTAGATTCTTTTTTTGTTAGAAATGGATCCAACCTGGTTTTATTTGAACCACACTAGGAATTACAGCAGTTTAAAATTTCCTTATAAATAATGGTCTGTGTTCTCCCCATCACTGTCTGGCATGGAAAGAGCAAAAACATATCTTTCACACAGAAAAAGGGAGCAACTGGCAGAGGGAGTGCTCGCACCACATATTCACTCCACCTAGGGGTTGTCATCTACAGTCCCTCCATTTAGTGATGCTTGTTTCTGAGCTGGAGTACTTTCAGGGAGGTGAATGGCCAACAGGGGGGTGAAACTAGAAAGCTGCTGTTCTTCATAGAATGCTCTTGTAGGAAAGCCAAAGAGAAACTCTGAAGCTATATGAGTGTGACAGGTGAACATGGCAATAAATCTCAAAAGAGCTGCGTAAACATTAAAGACCAGATCCTCAGCTGTGTAAATTGCCTTAACTCCACTTAAGTCAATGGAGCTACACTGGTTTAGGTCATGTGAGGATCTGGCCCTAATTAATTAATTCTCAAACTCTCCTCTGTGGTTAGTAAATAAGTATTATTGCCCCATTTTACAGGTGGGGAATCCAGGGTATGGAAAGGTGAAATGACACAATGTAGCCTCCACTGTAACTTAGTAGCAGAGTTAGAATTAGAACTTGGGAGCTCCTCACTCCTGTCCTGTCCTTATTTCCCTTTGGCTATGCTGCCAAAGGGTACATCTTCACTATAGAGTTAAGCCATGTTTACACTATGGGCACTAGAGTGGCATAGGGCAATCCTGTAGTTAAGACACAGACTAGAGCAGTGGAAGGGGTTTCTTCCATTGCTGTAGGAACTCCACCTCCCCGGGCGATGGTAGCTAGGCTGATGGAAGCATTCTTCCATTGACTTAGCTGCATCTATATTTGGGGTTAGGTTTGCATAGCTATAGCACTTAGGGGTGTGGATTTTTCACACCTGTGAGTGCTGCAGCCATGTCAATCTAAGTTTTAAGTATAGAACAGACCTTGGGTTAACACCTCTCATTAGCCTGGCTTGAGGGAGAGTGGCCACACCAAAAACAACACTCATAGTGATTGGGTTGCCAGCACAGAGTAGCCATCACTAGCTCAAACATCAGCAGCATCCCTGATAGGCCAGCTAGTTTGACTTTAAAGTACCACCTAATTCAAGCTAGAGATTTGTCTATGTGAATGGGAATCAGTTGAGGGCCACACTCAAGTTATACCTCAAGCTGACTTTACAGTCAAGGCATCCCCTAAAGCATGTGTATGTTAATGTTGACTGAGATATCATAAGCTTTCACTGATCTGACTGTCCATGTCTTTTCCTGACTGGAACTAGTCAGGAAGCTCCAGATTCCCAATGGGTCCCTACTGTTACTGTTTTTCCTGCCTTTGAAGGTGAGAGAGTTGAGATCTGGATATTATTGTAAACCTCTTTCCCTGCTCCTCACTGGCAGTGGACCTGCACCACTATTCATTGCATCTTCATTCAGTGTTTACTCACACTATAAGTGTTTAGGTTCTCAGGGGAGATTAATGTAGACTTCAGTAGATAATCAGGCTCATCTCACCATAATGGAGTTCTTTTAGATTACAGAATTCTGTAATCTACATTATCCCGCACCATGATGATTTATCTTATTGCAGGGGAAAATGTGAACTCACAAGACTTATGGCAGAAGGAAAGAGGGCTATTTCAAAGTTTCCAATAATATGGACCGCTTCAATTGTTCATGCCTGTCAGGATTTATATTTTATTATAGGTATAGATTTGAGTCACACATATCTATTATCACCCCAAATTTGTAATAAGAGATTTGATAAAAAGAGTAATTTAAATAAACAAAAAACAGAGACCAAAGGATAGTTTGTAACTCTCAACGTGGACAAGACAGAAAAACTGGAAAATTTCTAATTCTGCTTTCTGCTTAAAAATGGCCTTTCATTTTCAAAAAGGAAATTTGGAAGGGCCTGATTCCACCATTATTTCCTGCTTGTGGCTATTATTAAAGTCAATTAGACTTTTGGTCATGCAGGAACAGCAGGATCAGGCTAGTTGTGGCAGGCTGTTAGTACAAAATCCAACTCCTAACAGGTCAATGGAAAGCCCTCACTCACTTCTGTGGCTGCTGGATGCACCAGTGAAGCCACTTATCCTTCAGTGAGAAAAAATAATCCATAATATTGACTGGGTCCATTTGATGTTTTTCTTTATTTTTGATAAATGTTAACTACCACACCAGCTTGTTCACCATTAAAAATTACCTGATAGTTCTCTCATACATAGATTCACAATACTTTTAATATGCATGGCCCAAACAACAGATTTCCTCCTACAAGCCCTCCATGCTAGAGGCAGAATTCCTTTACTACAGACCAAATACTGCAAGCTTCCTAGTATCACCCTACCAATGTACCCCACTCACAATGGGCTTTTCCCTGTATGTAGCACAATTATCAAAGAAAGACCCAGGAAAGGATGTTCTTCACATAAGGTCTCCACCCCAAGCCCCACTTCAGACTGAGGTAAATTAGATTCTATAGTCTTAATGTACTCAATAAGGTTTTTAAGGACAAAAAATAAACATTTCCAGCTAATGCAGTGAATGCCTAGTTATGGTTTCTTCCGTAGTTGTGATTATAATATGGAATTTTTAGGTGATTGGGAAAACAAATGGATTCCCCAGCACCCCACCCCTTATTTCTGAGAGCACTTGCACCTCTTGGACACAAGGTTTATCACAAGCTTGGAGGGAAATTGTTGTGGGTTCCCGTTGCTTCAAATGTTGGCAGCTCATCACTGTAGAAAACTTGCTGAAACCTGGTTCCAACTAAATTTGTTCCTAAGGTTGCTTGGCCAGTGTAGAAGGCCTAGGATTTGTTATTCCTAAAATTTCCAACCATTGCTACCACTCATGCAGTTTTTCTGGTTGTATCAACTTGATGAGCACTAGTATAGGCAGGCCACTATTTTAGCATGTTAAAACCAGTTTAACATGAGCTATGTTTAACCTGAATTTAAATATGGCTCCTAAACAAGATATTAATCCCAATGTGGACACAGTCAGTTTTAGCTCCATCTTCATACCCACTGGCCTGCTACTGACACTGCAGGATGACATTTTTGTAGTGGTTTTGTTGATATTGAGACTTGCCTAATATTAACAGGAACCACCAACATCACACATGGGGCAGTGACTTGTCACACTCACAACCCAATATGGATTAAAATAACCTAAAGATAAAAGACTCTGTATCCCATTACTGGTCCTTTGAGCCATTCAGTATCCCAGAAAGCTTTCTTCTTGAACAAAAAAAATGCTAATCACATTTATTACAAACAGAGCAGAGTGTTTCTCTGCCATCCCAAGATAATGTGGACGTCAAGGTTAGTCTTACTATATCCCAGAATGTCAACACACTTGCCAAAAATGAATTTATCAGCTCAATGCAGCTGAGAGATTTAGTTTATCTAAATGTCCTACAAGGAATAAATAGTTTACCACTGTTTTTGAAGATTGGGGCAAATCTGACATTCTATTGACATATGCTATAGATTTAATTTAATGCTGTGGTTCAGATGTCTCTTCTGATAACTTTTAGTGAAATCTATGCTAAGAGTGGAACTGTTTAAGTATTTTATGGGGGTTTTAAATGCAGGGTTAGCAAAGGAAACATGATAATTGAAACAATGTTTGTATATTCTCTTGTAGTGATTTGGAGAGGAATGTTACTAAAGCTTGTTGGTTGGTTCTGAATATTAACTGGATTTTAGCATGATTTGAAGGGATTCATTTTAAATTTGATCTCTTTTTTCTATAACAGGCAGATCACTTTCTTTAATGAAATGATTAAAAGTCTTTGAGCTGAGCCTCTCATTTATTGATTTATTTTATTTCATTTTTGTATTTTAGGCATATTGGAGATAACATCTGTGGAAATTGGAGTTGTGGCTGTTAAATCGATTAACAGCAACTATTATTTAGCCATGAACAAGAAAGGAAAAGTCTATGGCTCTGTAAGTATGTTGCTTTTGTTTTCAAAATGGACTGCAGGAGTCATAACCATAGTTCCCCCCCCCCTACTGACTAGCTCATTTATCTGTAATTTTCTAGTAATTAGAGCTTCAAGGAGTTCTTCATCAAAATTTCAGGCTCTCATAAACCAGCTCACCATGGTTTGTTCATTAGGCTAAAGTTTGGCAGTGGCTGCTGGCCTTCGTCATTGAAATGGCCTGTTCTGGTGTCTGGTCCGGTCAGGTCTCCCACTAAGTAGCAGCCAACACAGCATGAAAACTGCAGACACTTTGGGGAGAATCTAAAAAAAATTAAAAATTTAAAGGTATTTTATTCTTTCATGTCTACAGTACAATCCCGTTTGTCAATAATTTTGGGGGAAGCATCTGAAATCTCATAAACAGGGGTTTCAGATGATGGAGCAGCAGTGGGAAGGCATTTAAAGGCTGTACATTAGGTTCCCAACTCTAGAGTGCACTGGACAGCATACTGGTCAGCTTTTCAGATTCACCAGCTTTAAAGGGGCAACACTGATTATCACACAAGAATACAGTAGAGAGGGGGATAATCACATCCTCAGGAACATAATCAAACTTTGGTTAATCAGAGTTGGATAAACCTGTACTTACAAACACATATTCTATCTTTTATAGGTAATATATGAATTATCACCAATCATTTTCACAGATACACGTAATATAACCCCATGAATGGGTGAACTAAACTCTAGTTTACACACATACTACATATATCTATAGTGTACATGTCAGGACCCTGGTCTCAAATTCCAGTTTTGAACCCAGGCCCAGTGGGTCCTCAGGAAGCAGCACTGGGCATCCGACTGCACCAACTCTTTGACTTACTTTAGAATTCAGACTTGGGTAGGCTATCTTTTAGGATTCCTCATCCGGCTCCCTGAGTGGCCACATGATCTTGACCTGATTGGCTAGTGACCATATATAAACTTGCAGGTAGAGCATGACACTGGCATTTGTTTAGAATGGCCTGCATAATTCACTAATGGGTCTGATGGCCAAATTTATGCCAGTAAAACTTTTTTTATCATCTGTGAATTAGGATGAAAATTTGGATCAGAATAGAATTCTGCATCTGGGAAAAAGGAGTCAAATGAGTTATTTTTATTTTTATCAGAAATATTTGCCAGCCTTTTTGATTGGTATTTTACAGCTAGTATGAACAGGCAAAGGGGCGGGGCTCTTTAATTTGATTTATTTATCGGATTCAGGACTGACCAGACAGAAGGAGAATTAGTGTGGCTTAGAGCTGTTGCTTAAGTTAATGGCCACTTGCCTTTTTTTCTCCATTGAAGCAAATGATGGAATATTAAAGCAAATCCAAGCAGTCTTTAGGTTTCTAAATGTGGTGAATATAAAGAGCTATTTTGGGAAAGAGAGAGTGTATCCCCTGGAGATGTTTTTCCAAGCTTACATAACTCTGCTAATGGACTAATACTGCGACTCAGAGCATTCTGAAAGTCAAATTGAGTGTGACTGATTCAGTCAACTGTGCGAAGAAAACAAAAGTATGTTTTCTGTAGTTTATAACTGAGGCCTGGTCTTCACTAAAAAGTTAGGTTGACCCATCATCCTTACATCGTTCATGGCTGTGAAGAATCCATATCCTTGAGCAGTGTAGTAAAGCCTACCTAACCCCTGGTGTAGACAGCGCTAGGTCTACAGAAGAGTTCTTCCATCAACCTAGCTACCACCTCTCAGAAAGATGGATGACCTACACTGATGGAACAACCCTTCCTGTCGGCATAGGTAGTGTGTACATTAAAGTACTGCAGCGATGCAGCTGTAGCCCTTCAAGGGTAGAAAAGGCCTGAGGAGAGGTGAAAGATTAAGCCAGGGTTTGAAAGTTCTTAGTTGTATCTAAGTATAATGAACTCTTGATCAGTTTTTAAAATGGAAATCTACAGGAATAAGTCATGAAGATTTATATGAATTGTATAAAAAGTAGTTGTCGTATATTGCCTCTATGTATCTTCAAATGTCTTGGAAACCATGTAATTATTTTAAAGACTCACTTAAACTATCTGCTATATAAGTGTTCCTGCTATATATTTGTGGCTGGTTTTTACATTGTAAATGCTCAAAGTATCTAACAACATTCATCAGAAATAAAATGTCTAAAGCATCTCAAAATAATCTTATTTGTACCATAAATAACACTTTATTATTTCAGCATATTCTTTCTTCTTAATTTTAGTCTTGGCATTTGACTAGGTGCCTTAGAATTACCATATGTAGGTAGGTAGGCAGGTTGTCAATGTTTACATGTTCCATTGTAGGGTTCTTGTGGGCTTCCCTGTAAATAAGAACTTCCTTTCTGCAGTGTAGGAATTACAGAAATACATACTGCTTTGTGTCTTACTGCACATTTCAATGTGCAGGGTTTCAAATGACCTACTTGCAAAAGACTTCCAATTTGTATTTGAGTGGCTTTATTGAAATGGCTTCCTTTTTTCAATATGGAAGCTATTTGTTTATTAAAGACATTCTTGTCATCACTCCTGAAAAGCAGATCTGTGTATGGTAAATATTACAGAAACAATTAGCCTCCCATGACAACATACTTGCCTTTTATGTTTTACATCCTCTCCTAGCAAACTGATACCAATTTTCTTGAAAAATGGAAACCATTCATCCTTGGAAGTGTGTATGCAGAATTTGTTAGGTTCACTGTGAACATTCTTACAATATGGATATTGGGCCAGGCACTGAAGTCTTTTAGGTCCTGATCCTTATTTATGGTAAGGCCCTTTATACCATTCTGGCATGTTAAAGGGGCCTCACACCCACTTTAAGATCCATTTACACTGCCAGAGTGATTTGCACCCACTTAACGTCTCCTTTTCAATGCCACAGTGGTATGAATGGACTTTAGTTTAAATGAGCCTTTACAGTTTAAAATTTACAGTTTATAGATTCATTTAACATGTGCTACCAATAACCTGGATCAAGACACTTCAAAGATTGCATTTGCTTAGAAGTGCAACATGGTGAATGAGTCCATGACTGCTACACAGAGAAACCTTATAACTAAGAAACTGATGTAGTATTGCTGCCATGTTCCGTCCCAGAGGTGGCTGCATGTCACTAGTGGGTGAATTATATACTCTTATTACTATATATAATTATTTATTGCCCAATCGGTTACATTTTTATTTTGTAGCATAACTGACATGTTATAATGTGCATGCAGTTAAATATTTCAATAAGCAAACTGTATAATTTTATAATAATCATCTAGATTATGTTGAAAACTTGTAAAGCACTTTGAAATTCTTCAGGATATTATTGTATACAATATTATTTTACCCTCAACACTGTTAAAAAGTCTTTACATTCTGAACTGGCTGGTTCATTTTTCTCTTTTTACAGAAAGAGTTTAACAGCGATTGTAAATTGAAGGAAAGAATAGAAGAAAATGGATACAACACATACGCATCCTTAAATTGGAAGCACAATGGAAGACAAATGTTTGTGGCCTTGAATGGAAGAGGAGCTACAAAGAGAGGACAGAAAACAAGGAGGAAAAACACCTCAGCTCACTTTCTTCCAATGGTAGTAATGTCATAGATGAAGGAACTGTTTTATTGATGCAGTTGAACCAAAGGCTCTTTTGTCAAGTATACTTGGTAATCCTCTTGAAGAGTAAAGGCAAAGAAACAGTGCAGACGTCTGCTTGTTTGAAAAGGGGGGGAAGCCTTTGAAGGTTTTGTGCTCATTGCTGGCACATGAAGGACTTTTAATTAGTTCTGTGTCATATCTTATAATCAAGATACAAGCTGGATCAAATGGGATGGGAACTATTCCCAGTGTGAATAATGTTTTTTTATCTCTGTGATAGAACTTGCAGGACGTGAGACAATCTGTTGAATGATCTTCGGGGAAAGTTATTTATGGAATACTAACTCATATCAAAGACCTTCATTGCTCATTCAAGCCTAATGATCCAATGAACAGTTAAACACGCAAGCATTTACTGGAAGCACTTGGGTCATATGCACAAATAAAGAAGTTTCTGGAGTAGCCTCGTGGAAGAATGGATAGGATTAAGAAATATAAGCATATTAGAGTTAAACTGTTCTAACAAAATGAATAGTATGGTTTGCCTGTGTATTCTAACTTCATTCCTTTTTATTTCTCTCTAAGTTATTTATTTAATAGGATGTTAAATATCTTTTTTTGGTTTTAAATGATTTCCTCAGTTGCTTCCTTATTTTTCCCCCTTTTTTCAGCTTTTCTCACAGGGGTTGATAGACTGCCTGAGAACAGGAAACTGACAAGTCAGCATTGCAGTGAATATGTCCAATCTGTTTTCTTCTAAACTGTTTTGCACTTAAGCAAAAGGACCTGAAGCAGTGCTCAGATTTATCACACACATTGGATGTGTTTATGTTTGTGAATCCTACCTGCCATCACTCAAGAACAAACTTCAAGAAATACATTGTCAGGAGGGTTTTGTTGCTTGTATGAAATGGATGGAGAGGGCCAAATCTGTACTCAGGTGTATTCGTGTTTGGGATGTGTATGTGTATGTAATTCAGATCCCAGTGATTTATATTTGGGACTAATGTATAGTCTTACTTAGGGGTCTGATCCAAAATTCATTGCAGTTAATGGGAATCTTTTCATTGCCTTTAGTGGTCTTTGGAAAAATCCCTAAATGTGGCTCATGCCCATTGATTTTAATGAGATTGCAATATTGCATGCATTTAAATACAAGCAGAATTATCCTGTGGAGCTGGAAGCACCTGAGAGCAGAATTTGGCTCCCAAAAAATGAGTCCAAAAAGAGCACAGTCCTGCAGTCCTTATTCAGTTAACCTGCATAATTCAACCAAATTGTCCTCATTAACAGCTTGAAGAGTCGCAGACATATATTGGGATCATTTCCTGAATAAAGACCATAGGATATTCATGATCATGCATTTATCAGAGACTACTTTCAAATGCATATAACATTATGAGAGCCAGCTAAAGAACAGCATCCGTGTCCCTGGTTAGAATATCTTTCATATCCATCACAATAAATGAATGCTCAAAAAACACAATATCAGGCACTTTTTATGAAATGTTACTATTCCCACGGCTTAATTTGAGCAAATGAGTTTAAGCCTATTATGAAGTCTGGTCAACCTAAAAGAATATAAGGTTTGTTTTTTGCTTTACTTATTTCTGTAAATTTAGAGAGCTATGGATAGCTCATCAATATAACCGTATTGAGATTCATTTTGTTAGAGCAGATGAATAGAAAACAGTACATCAGCCAACATGTACCACTGTCTTCACATTGTATTCCACTAAATAAATGCATAAACCTCTCTGCAGTGTCCGTAGTGAGAAAAAAAAGTAGTATAATAATATTTTTTCTAAATACTTTAAGTGATAACTATGAGATTATATTGATGTGCAGTTCTATCTTCAGTATTGTTGGGAAAAAGTTGGTTTTATTTTTATTGTTTGGAAACTGTATTTTGATACAAAGGAGAGTTTTGCTAAATGTGTCTTTTTTTTTTTTTTTAACTAAAGTTTTACCTGTAGAAAGGCTGGTGTTATTGTGATCTTCTATAACTTATTTGAGTCAATGCTTAACCAGCACTTCCAATGTTAATCGTTATTTAAGTATTAGCTGTGTATTAAAAAAAAAAAAAAACAGCAGCAGCTTTCCCATAACATGTAAAACATAGAGAACGGTCAGATTGTATTTCCTGTTCCTCAAAAAAAGTTGGCTGTTTTATAACAAAAAAGTGCATTTGAGGCAGAGCATTTTGGCTTGTAGCTAACATTGCATTTCATGGTATTTGGTTTCCAACCTATTTGTTGATGAATGAGATTTTTTTAAAAATCGACCTACAGTAGAATTTCAGATGTTAAAATTAAATTTGTAATGGAGACTGAATAGCAAAACTTGTCATATTAAGAGGGAGGTTTTCTTATTTAAATTTTTAAAGTAATAATTGCATATGACAATGTATAATGGACCACCCACAACAAAAATTAAATGTTTGGTTGAGCAAATATAGTATTGGATAACCACTTTAACAACATCTATGGTACAAACTAGGTTCTCATTTCACAGAGCCATTTACATGACTTAGGGGATTGTATATGTAAACATTCATAATTACAGGATTTCAAAACACTAAAACAGCTTCTAGCAAAACATATCGCTGCTCACAGAGGCCAAGAAAAGAAAATATCACTTTTCTGAAGTGAGAAGAGATGGGGACAGGAGCCATTCTGTGGAACGAATGGTTGGTTCCTGATGGTTAACAAAAATAAAAAATTCTTGAAGGAAAATGATGGCCTGCACTATAGGCATGCTCTGGTATTTACTGTGGTAGAATTGTGCTGCAGACAGTCTTCCCAGAGTATTATAGTTCCTTTTATCATAAGAGGGATCTCCTGATCAAGTTAAAGAGGGTGGGTTTTTTGTTTTTGTTTTTTTAAAGGCTGATCAACAATGTACAGTATGTTATATTTAAATAAAAAATAATAAAATGCTGGGAATAGAGAATAAAAATATTGTCCTTGATTGTTTTATTAGCCTTAAATGATACTGCATAATAAAAACAAAAAATGGAAAAGGTCCATGTATACTACAGGATGTGGTTTGGTGCTCCATAGCCCCAAAACAAAACAAAACAAAATCACTTGAACATTTGTAAGGTTTCTTTAATTTTTTGCATGTGTGAGTCAGCTATCATCACTCTAATAACAACCAAATGCTTTAGATTCTTGCTGTAAGTGTCTAGGTCCACCTAGTTTATACAATGGAAAAAAGCAATGAATATAAAACAAGCATGTTTGATGAAAGAATGAAGGGCTTTAGGAGAAAGAGCATAAACTCACATTTATAAGTAAATGTTAGATAAAGAAAAATACCCTACATTTTGTAGTCTTCATCCAAGACTCTCAAGCTTTTAAAGTTCAAGTAAGGTTAGTAAGATGCAGTAGTGCAAAAACATTTGTACATGGAAGTAGACTCCAACTTCATGTCAGTTATGTAGGCAAAAGTCTATATTAAATGAATCACAGCAAATTTAGGACCTGTTTCTGAAGTCAATCAGAGGTGAGGGTACCCCATATCTTAAAGTATCAGGTGTCATTATTTAGCTTTCTTAAATTAACTGTCTGGGATTATTCCCCCACTGCTAATTTCTTATTAAATTTTAGAAAGAAAAGAGCAACGCAGAGCACACACGCATGCACAAACATTTTTCCGCTGGAATTGTAATGTGGTCAAGGAGACTGCTTCATGGAAACCATTTCAAAGCAGTTGACAATGACAACATTAAATATATACAAGAAGCTAGCTGTTTCGTATCACATTATGGCCAAGAGGTTCAACATGAAAAATTCATTGTTTTTTATTCCAGGAAATTATGGTTTTATATTTGCATATATCCACCCAAGAGATGTTTGAACCTAGTATTTAACATCATGGAAGCTCTTTGGGACTGTCTTTTGGGGGTCAGGGACTATCATTTGCTACTTGTTAGTACAGCACTTAGTACATTGGTGCCCAGATCCCTGATTGGGGCTTCTACAGGCTACTATAATATAATTAATAAGAAGGAAATGGGACTGCAGAAGTTCCTCATCAGTATTTTTATGGAAATTGCACATTGCTTTCACATGAGAAATATATTGCATGTGATGAATAAACTGATATGCTGGTGAAATAAAAATGCACAGGTTTGGCCATTTGGTTCAGTGTGAAACTACTAGGATATCAATGTCGCAGTACCTAAAGGAAAGTACATCAGATACCTAAATGTATAGGGTACATGGCATGTATTACCATAGACAACATGTTGCAAGGAAATAGAAGAGGTTATGTTCATATTAGATCTTAGAATCTAGGATTCTCTTGGGATAAACTAGTACATGAAGAATCAAAACATTCTATGTTCTTCATTACTGTTGTAAACTGAACATATGAATTTGTGCAGCATAGCCCATGACCTCAGCTGCAGACATACTATTTTATGGTCTGAATCATTCTACTTGGTTTTAATTATCTTATATAAATTTTAGATGGCTAATTCACCATTTTACTAATTTCGAAGTCATTTAGCCATCACTTCAGTAGTCCTTTTGCCTGTTGGCAATCTGCACAGAGGGTCTTTCTCTGAAGACAAAATTAATGCCAGCATTACACATTACATGAAGTAGATCCAACATGCTATACATTTGTATGGAAGAGAAACCTTTTAAAAACTATTCCACTTTTATACAAAATGATTCTTTTCAGGAAAGAGGAACATTTCCAGTGCAAGTTGAGCAATCAGTCTGTTAATTTCCACTCAGACTTAATTTATTGCCAATATAGATATTCTCCATCAAATATTTGTAACTTTTAAGTTTAGGAGAAGTCAAAGCTTAAACATACAGCTAGTGGCTGGAGAATATCGGCAAGTATCACAAAAATGCTCAAGGATTACCAGGTTACTAACCATGCTCCTCAAACATGGGAGTTGAATGTTTAGTATTCAGATTAATTTTTCACCCCTCCCAAAGATGGTCTGAAGTAAGGCCAAATGAACAACCGTATTTATCAGTAATCACCATAACTAGTATTACATGAAAGGAGGAAGAGGAATAAACTCTGAATGGACTATATATTCTTCCATGAGATCCATGCGGTGGATGTAAGATAAACTGCTGATAAGACAATTTATATCCATGACAATGCAGAAATGCAGATTTTCAAGATACTTCCATACCACAAATTTCCACAGCCTGCACAACGTGCCTAAACTGGCTTTGACCTATCTTCAAAAGGGGATATGGTTTGGCCAAAAAGATATATTTTTATCTCACCACACTACTAACACTGATTCTACTGTCTCATAATGGTGAAAAGCAATGTGAGAAGACCTTCAGGTGGATTAACTGGACTTCAACAGCTCCAGTGATGTCGAGATACTATGCAGTTAAGTGATCATGCTGTGACGGGTTGGACCACCTTCTGGGATGCCACCTGATACACTGGTATTTCACTGAGCCTCCACTGCTCAATCAGCCTGGGTTTCCTCTCCCTGCTTTGCTGAATTAGGCTCTCTGGTCTCTTGCAGCACACACACATAGGTAGGGCCACACCCCACTGCAAACAAATCCACCCTCTTCCTCAATGTGAAGAGAGATGTGTACACTTCTGCCCCCCAGTTAGAAACTGCATAAACTGGGTTATATTATAAATAAGAAATAAGTT